CTACTGTGAAGAAAATTAACTTTATCCCATCCAAAACCAGCACAGACAGGAATAACTGTCTCTTATTAGTTTCTTCCTTTACACAGACACATTTACTGATACTACAACAACCAGCAGTTCTTTGCTTTTATTAAGGCAGCCTTTTATAGCTTGTTTGTGAAAGTTTTTTTAAATGACATCTAGTGGCAGAGTTCAGAATGACAACGTTCTGACATGAACAGTTCTCCAGATGTCTTTAGTGAATTGGCTTTCCAGAGTTTATGATGCCAAGGGTTTTGTTCTGGCAACTTGTCAGGAATGGCAGCATAGCATATCAAATCCGTACCACGCTTATTTGATTTCACCAGTGATGAAAAGTCAGCAGTACAATGAGTCTCATTATTTGGCACTTCCAAGGATAAAACAACTATTGTTTCATAACTTGGGGGACTGAGGTGGTTAAAGGGTTTTTAAATTTGCATTTGGTCCTGATTATACATTTTGGATGCTTGGTAGTTTTAAACTAGCAGTGGGTACAAAATTATGTTGATTATAAATCATTACCTTAGCAGCTAAGTTAGTATGTGACGAGAGGCACAGAATGGCAGATGTTGCTCTAGAACCAATGAGAAACTTAAAGGATACTGCTGTTATATCTGAAGAGATATTTTTTTTACACTATCAATTACATCTTGATAAGGATGCCTGCTTTGATTTTGCCTGTACTTCAGAGTTCTCCCTTGATTATAAAGGCAAGAAATCTCTCTACTTCCTGCACCAAATGCACTCTTTTATTTAATTCACATGTAAAAAGCCCACACATACACACACAGACACACAGCTGTTGGGCACAGGTAAATCCTCTGGACTGGCCTTAGCACAAGCATTGTTTCTGTCTGTATCTTCTGGGCGTACACTACATATGATACCTTAGCTTTCCATCCCAAGACATGCAGACCTGGTCTCTTCTATTACTTGAAAATGAAACCATAATGTGAGCCTCTAGCTTTGTTCCCACATGGCCACAATTGCTCCTCATCTAAAACAGGTCTCTCTGTTCCAAAGGAGAACCCCCAGAGGCCCCCAGTTCTAATTTCTGGCTTTTATTTATTGTCCTCTCGTGTTCAGTGAGATCAAATGAGTGGAAGGCAACAAGCAACAACTATCTGAGGCTTCTTTGCTTACAACTGGGCACAGCAGATAAATCACGATCTTGATATTCCTGTCTCCAACTTTCCCTCTAGCCTTGTGCTCAGAATGTTTTTCCTAAATTTTGCAGTTGATCAGACATGAACTTCAGAAGCCATGACATGCAGAGGAATTCCATTAAGCTGAGTTACACCATCCTCAGCCAGTAACTTAACTTGAAAAAAATAAATACCATTTGATATGAGAAAATGACAGCATGCTTCTAGAATAGAAATCTACCTTAACTCTAGATTTTTAAAGAAGGAAAATAAGTAACTTGTTGTAGAGTATACTATTAATTCTAGTGTGTGACTTTTTCTTAATTCCTACTTTTTCCCCAGACAATTTTAAAGATCTTGGTCTCAGGAGGTGGAAAATCCCGAACAGGAGTGATGATCCCTATACCACAATATCCCTTATATTCAGCAGCCATATCTGAACTAGATGCTATCCAAGTGAACTACTATTTGGATGAAGAAAATTGCTGGGCTCTAGATGTGAATGAACTTCGCCGTTCCTTGAATGAAGCTAGGGCATATTGCAATCCAAAAGTCCTCTGCATCATCAACCCCGGAAATCCCACAGGTCTATAGCAATTTTGTTTAATGGATGGGTTTTAAGACCAATTTTTTTATTTTCCTCTTTCATTCATTTGACACTACAGGCAAATCCTAAATACATATAAAATAGGTAAAGCTGAATTCTAGAGATCAGTGCTCTAAGTAGGACAATATGTCATACTTTTAGAAACTTATTTTCAGTATCATGGAACTCCAGGGATTTGGAAAGAGAGGAGGGAGCAGCTTCACTTCACTGGATCCTATTTGAAGCCACTGCTTCCACTGAACTTTTGTAGACCTGTGGAATGGCTTTCAGTCACTTTTGATCTTTATCAAAGATCTTGTCTCTGACTTGTCCTGTAGCCTTTTGCCTCTGAGAGGCAATGACTACAGATACACTCCGAACTCAGTGGCAACCAGTACCTCCCTCAGAAAAATTTTGGGTTTTTAGTAGTTGAGGTTGATTAGTGAGAAACTAGCTCCCACTTAACCATCGTGCATGAGTATTTCAAATTATCAGTTATACACAGAGTACTCTTAATAAGTTATTGATTGATTACTGAATCTCACATTTCCTTTTCTTGAGATGGACCAAATTACTTGAACCATAATTCCTAAAAAAATGTTCCTGAAGTTCACACTTAGTGAATTGAATTCTAAAATTCAATAGCACTTTTCTGAGAAACAGGAATATCTTATTAAAAAGCTAGTAGTCTAACTAGGTCTGGGTGAAAAGATTTGTATACATCTGCTCCACTAACTTTCTTCTTGCTTTAAAAATCAAACTATAGGCCAGGTGCAAAGCAGAAAGTGCATTGAAGATGTGATACACTTTGCTTGGGAAGACAAACTTTTTCTTCTGGCTGATGAGGTAATGGAATATTCAGTTCTCTCAAAAGCACAGCTAAGAGTGCATATGAGGTGTAATTTTGTTCCATGTGTGGTATTGGTATTTTTTAAGTTCAGGGAACAGGTTCTGTGTTATCATGTTAAGACATGAACAAACATGCAAGATTCTTAATATCAAAGGATTAATAGGAGAGGTGGCTTGATCTGGATTTGAACTAGAGGGAAAGTGTCGGGAACAGAAGCAAGGAGACACAAGGAGGAACTTTGCTGGAACTGACCTAAAAACCTATGTGATACTCAAACCACTTCAAAGGAAAGAAACAGAAGGAAAATAAATTTAAACATACAAGTAAAGGTTAAATGATACAAAGAAGCTCACTGTTCTTCCAAAGGCTGTACATATGGCCACATGAGATAAAATGTATCATTACAGTAACCATTACTTAACAAAGAACCTTGTGTCTTCTAAGGGCTTTAAGTTCTGAGTGTTGCCGCTGTTTCTTCAGTTCAGATCTGGCTCTCTAAGAGGCCATCTTTTATCCTTAGTTGGGGGAACAGAGCACATTAATGTCTTCTGACTGTTCAGGTTTACCAGGACAATGTGTACTCTGAAGGATGCCAGTTTCATTCTTTCAAAAAGATTCTGTATGAGATGGGACCTGAGTACTATAACAATGTTGAGCTGGCCTCTTTTCACTCCACCTCTAAGGGATACATGGGCGAGTAAGTCTGCTTTAGTTTTTTTTATTTCATCTTCCTCATTAATCTGGTTGGACAGATGTTTCATGTTAGTGACCTGAAGGTAATCCACTGTCTTCTATTAATTTTGACTAAAAACTATTAAGAAAAGAAAAACAAGCATTTAAAGCACAGAGTAATGGGTTAGGTCAGTGGTTTTCAAAGTATGGAATAATAAGTGTATTTATTTCAGAACCTAATTCCTCAGTTCCACAAAGGTGAAATCCTACAGTCCTAAACTGGACCTGTGACGAAGGAGAATATGGTCTCCGTCATTCAAGGGAACAACTCAAGAGTCACTGGGATGTTTGATATTATAAATGTTTGGTTGTTTTGGGGAGGAACAGATGGAAAAATGAATTTTCTGATTAAATGAATGCTGCTACAGCTGTATGCTCTTGTTCTGAAGAGCAAACAATCCAAGTAAATCCTTAACGTACCTAACAAGGAAGCTGCACGTACAGTTTTCTCTGTATGGGATACTAGGGCTTAATGAAGAAGCTTAACATGACCTGGCAATGTGTGCTTACAGCCCAGAAAGCCAACCAGATCCTGGGCTGCATGACCAGCAGGTCAAGGGAGGGGATTCTCCCCCTCTACTCTCCTCTTGTGAAAGCCCACCTGGAGTACTGCGTCCAGCTCTGGGGCCTCCAGCACAGGAAGGACATGGACCTGTTGGAGTGAGTCCAGAGGAGGCTATGAAGATGATCAGAGGGCTGGAGCACCTCTCCTGTGAGGACAGGCTGAGAGAGTTGGGCTTGTTCAGCCTGGAGAAGAGAAGGCTCCAGGGAGACCTTATAGCAGCCTTCCAGTACTGAAAGGGGGCTACAGGAGGGATGGGGAGGGACTCTTGATCAGGGGTGTAGTGACAGGATGAGGGGTAACGGCTTTAAGCTGAAAAAGGGCAGATTTTGACTAGATATTAGAAAGAAATTTTTCACTGTACGGGTGATGAGACACTGCAACAGGTTGCCCAGAGAAGCTGTGGATGCCCCATCCCTGGAGGGGTTCAAGGCCAGGCTGGATGAGGCTTTGAGCAACCTGGGCTAGTGGGAGGTGTCCCTGCCCATGGCAGGAGGTTTGGAAGTAGATGACCTTTAAGGTCCCTTCCAACCCAAACCATTCTATGATTCTGTGATTAATGACATATCATTTAGTTCCATCATAAAACATTACCAGTATAGCAGCTGGTTCAACAACCTGTATGTTACCTATTGTAAGATCCTCACTAGTTGTCTTTCTACTTCTGTAGTTATTTTAATTGCTTTTCCAGTATTTCTACACTTGAGGTTAACCAATCTCTTCTGTTCACTTTAATCACAGGTGTGGCTACAGAGGAGGTTACATGGAGGTCATTAACTTGCATCCAGAAATTAAAGGACAGCTTGTTAAGCTGCTTTCTGTTCGCATTTGTCCTCCAGTTTCAGGACAAGCAGCAATGGATATTGTAGTGAATCCTCCAATACCTGGAGAAGAATCTTACTCTCAGTTCATAAAGGTCAGCAGTAACATGTTTGCTCTTTTGTGCATTTCCTAAATCTGTCCTATGTATTGTAAACTCAAAATATGCACGGTGACCAGACTTCTTTCCTTTCTTCTCGGGCAATTCTGTAATAACACCAATTTACAGGACTATGCAGGGTATTTTAAATTAACTCAATATGACTACCTTTAAAAATATTTTTTATTCCTTTAATAGCTCCTTTGTTTAGGAGCCAAAAAAAGCTAAGAAGGCATTATTGAATCATCTTTCTTGCTGATAAATTCAACTTTGCTCCTGTGTTTAGACAAAATAATTACTAAGTAAGATTTGCTTTTACTAAAATCTAAACAGGAATGTAAGTTTGAATACAGTTATAAAATCAACCTTGTTCTTAGGTATCCAGTGCCTCTATATACAGAACAACATGGTATTCTGTATTAAAGTATACATATAGTTTCTCACTTGTAAAAATTAAACTGAATCTGGCTTAAGAAATTACAGTATTGAGACAGATCAAGGGTTCAGCTAACTTGGTCTCTAAAAATAGCCAAGAGTGGATGCTCAGAAGGAAGAACGTAAGAAGAGAGCATGCAGAGAGAGACTTCTGCAGGTAATAACACACACATAATATCTCCACACTTTGTAGCTGTATCCCGCTGATGCCTTTTTGCATTGCTGTCTTTAAGAGTATGACTGGAATGAGGAACATCATTTGCTCTAATAGCTCAGCAAAGCACTAAGAGTGCTTAATTCGGGGAAGGCTTCTTGAAGCATCGTAGTTTTCTCTGGTGTTTTTATTGCCATTTCAAATATATCAAACTGAACACCTTCCTTTCAAACAGGAGAAGGAGTCTGTTTTGAACAATCTTGCCAAAAAAGCCAAACTAACAGAAGACATGTTTAACAAGGTACCAGGAATTCATTGCAATCCACTTCAAGGAGCTATGTATGCTTTCCCACGGATCTTTATTCCTTCCAAAGCCATTGAGGAAGCAAAGGTCAGTCACTCATTTTAACCTTCACACACTTATGCCTGCCACTTCTAATGATGAATTTTTATTCCAGAGATAGAGTAAGCTCATGTAGTTACAAAAGCAGTACTCCGTTGACTATGTATGATCTTAAATATAACGTGACCTTTATTTTAAGAGAGGAAAACAAAACAGAGCATTTCATCACAGTGGTAAAGCTTCCAGGTCGAGAATGTTACCCAAGGATGTTAGTGTTATAGGGTGGGCAAGTAGCTGGACCTGTGCAGATTCCAAATTGCTGCCCATGCCTGGGTTGGGCAGGCCAGCACATGCGATGGGGATTGTGATGCTGAACCTGCAAAAGAACACCTTCCGTTCAGCAAGCGTGGGCAAGAGGGAGGGAAGTTTCCTGAACAAATTTTACTTCTGGACAATACATTTTTGTATTTGGGTCAGTAAGCTATATTACCAAATGACAAATATTTTTGTTCCTAACTAGAGCTCTATTACCTAATGTGTAATATTAATTGTTAAAGGGAATTTTATCAGCATAGCCGAGGACAAAAATAAGGCTGTCTTTCAGCTGATTTTTTGATTAGGCATATAACCTGCATGTATTTAAGAACTTCCACAGTTACTAACCAGGGGACTTTCTAGTCGGCTGATAATTCAAGGAAAAAAATAGTAACTGCCAACAGAACTGGAACACAGCTCTCAAATTAATTTCATCTTGTCAAATGTCAGTGGCTTAAATTTTTTTAAGTACAATTTTGAGACTTTTGACAAGAAGTTACAAGCAAGTCAAGGAGAAAAACATATCTAAAACATTTCTTTTGAAGTGAGTGTTTTGTGTGGGTTCTTCAGCCTTGTTCCCCCATGAAGTACTGTTATTTAATTCACAGTGTGAACTGTCCCATTAGCAATTGTTCTTCATCTTCTTTAGTAAATAGAATAAGAAACTAATAATGTAAGATAACGATTCAGGAAGAAAAGCAATCATGAAGTTCTATATATTTTGAATATTTTTACTTCAAAAATTCCAAAACATCCATTTCCTTAGGCTCATAAAATGGCACCTGATATGTTCTATTGCATGAAACTTCTGGAAGAGACTGGAATATGTGTTGTACCTGGAAGTGGATTTGGCCAAAGAGAAGGAAGCTACCATTTCAGGTACAGCTGCTGTTTGTTTAAAATCAAATGAACTGTAATAAGCTAAGTACCATCCCAGTACTTTCTCTTCTGGTTATTTTTTAATATAAGAATTTGTATTTCAGTTTATGTTGTCTCATTTTCTGCTGGACACTTTCTGTACACTGACAGCTAGGCAAAGACCTGGTCTGCTAGATGAGCTATTCAGGTTTTTATGGCATTTTCACAGCTTGCTGTCACAGAATTATTCTATTTTTATACACTGACAGTTGAAATGCCTTCTCCACTAATACAAACAATAATAATAGCTTATACTCTAATCTTAAAGTTGGCTAAGGCATTACAAAAATTTCCCTGCTTTCTTCTGGTGGGAGGTGGGGTTAAACAGTATTTCTGTATGGAGAAACTGCATGAGAGATGCAGCATCTTCCCTCTAAATCGGCTCCTTAAACACGCTGAATAACTCTTCACTTTACCAAAGCAAGATGTTGGACTAAATCTTCCAGTATCAAAACTGTGACCCTTAACTCTATTGCTTTGCCTTCCAATAAACAGCACTTTACTCCAGCTGAGCCACTGATAGCTAGAATTTATCACAGAATTCAGTCTTGTTTGGTCTGAAGCAACGCAGCAGAGAGTACCTTCAGCCATGATAGTTCTGCAACAGAGATAGCGGGGTTCGATATCTGGGTGCATGCAGCTCCAGGAAAAGGCTAGTGTGAGTCCCTGTACTAGTGTGGGAAAAACATTTTGTTCTGTACATGTTGCAGACAGTCCTGCATACAGTCAATGTGATTTTCAGATTATGCAGAAGAAGGAAAAAAGAAACTAAAAACTGCAGTGTGGGATGTTGCATTGTCTTAATGCTTCTGAATTAAGTTTTCAGTTAAAAAAGAAATGTACATTTCCTCATAACCGCCTGCCCTAAATCTCAAAAAAAAAAAAAAGGTATAATTTGGCATGACTGCCCCAAAAATGGAAGCTGAGTTCTTGTTTCCTTCTTTATCAATTCCTGAATTCCTATATATTAACCAATTGAAACAAATTGCTCTAGTTTAATACTGTAGTTCAATTAAAGCATAAATGCAGAAAATAAGAGAATCACATCCAAACAGATATTAAAGTGAACACATTACTAGCTGTACCCTGAGATTAATCAAGATCTGTGCAAAGATTACAGTTTAGTTTATTTTAAAGATAATGTGGGTTTTTTTCTTCCTTTTAATATTGTTTTTCAGAATGACCATTCTTCCTCCAGTAGACAAGCTGAAGATCCTACTGGAGAAAGTGAAAGACTTCCACATAAAGTTTCTTGAAAAATATGCATGAAACTAGTGTGGCTTTTCCCCCTCATCCCCTCTTCCAGGTGAATGCAGAAAATGAACAAAGATGTGCTGAGAATGTGCTGTTCATCTAACTTAACTAAATTCAAAATAGATAGAACCAATCTCAGATACTGCTACAACTTATTGGACTATTACATTTAATGTCTGGTATAGAAGACATTGTTACACTAACTTTTTTTTTTTAAGGGGAAAAGGAGGATGTGAAGAAAGCAGTGAAAGAAAGAGTCAGTAAACAATGTTGTGCCTTGACTGGAAGTTAGATTCGTGAACTCTTGACTCAATAGGTTGGGGGGTTGCTCATTAAAATCACTACTGTGTGTGGGTTTTTTTACAAAACAGAAATTGTTTAGCTAAGAACATGTTTCCCATCTTAAAATTATACTAAAGAGAAATTCAAAAGCCTACATTATAAGTATTGTTTGGTTTAATTTGTTGTTGTTCGATATGAAGTGTTCTCCAAATCTGATTAAGCATGTAGGTACAGCGTGCTCAGTTAAAAAAAAAAAAAAATCTTTAGCAGATGTGTGCAAATGCCTCTGAACTTCTGTTGAAAGGAAATCCTGCCATCACAGCATAATCTGAGTGGAATATACAGTTTTGATCAGAGGAGTGAACGTGGTGTCTGCTTGAACCCTATTTTTATGAAACTGAAACATAATGAGGAATATTAGTTTCTTATTCATATGCTATTCAACACATCATCCTGGCATAAAATAAGAGCACTGAACACTTCCTCTCATGACAACTCCATGACTCTCCTGTTAACTCACATCTTTTATATACATGGAACATACTAAGTTACTGTTTCAAAGCAGCGTGAGTACTGTCAATCCTTTCAAGTAGGGTAAAACCAGAATCGCTTTACCTATGGAGAACATTTGTTTGGAACCACAAGACTGAGAGACCCATTAGCTGGCCAAAATCCAGCTTGAACTGGCAAGGACTAACACTTGTTGTTACCAGGAGAAATGCTGGGGTGGTTTCTAATGAAGGAAAAGGCATTGAAAATAAAATGTTTTGCACCAAGCATAAAGATAATGATAGTACAGCTCACTCTTAAATCTTCCACAATCATACTCCTAGCTGAATGACCCTGAGTGCTTATTAAAAGCCAGATAAACCAAGTTGCTATCTAGGAGTACAGCTGTATTACTCTACTAATCTATCCTTACACAAGAGAAGGCTTCTGTTTCTCTAGAATTGGAAGCTCATAACTTCTGCTAGCACTGATACAGGATTGAAGGAACACAGCTTCCAGTATTCAGCCATGAAAGCATTAGCATTTGTCAGGCTTAGGCTCAGCATTTACAAAGTTTATTCATTAAGAATATCTCATTTAATCTAGTCACTAATTTTAAGGTATTATTTAGAAGTAAACTCATTTTAATGTCTCCTAGCACTTGGTTGGGCTGCCTTTGTGGCTGGTTCAACATCCGATGCTAATCCAGGTAACTAAAGCCCGGGGCTAGAGAATCACCATATGGATAAAGCGTGTGCCAATCTATTATGTGTGGAAGGCAAGAGATGTTGCCAATAACTGTCCTTGCAACAGCAACTACAAGTCTGTGACGTAGGATTAGCAGCTGATGTACTTCTCACAGTTCCTTACTGAAGTCTGTGAGAAGAATTTAATACTTCTTAATCACCTGCCAGTGGTTACAGGTTCATAAATGAAAACAGCACGCTGCTCCACAAAGTTATGATGGAGGCTTGGAGAAAAAAAAAAATATATATATATACTTTTATCCTTGGAGAAATTGACTTCTTGGAGAACAGCAGACTGAGAACATTTACATTGCTACTATCCATTGATAAATACAACCTTTTATCTGTTAGCACTCTCCACTTGGCATCCTTAATATGCACTAATAAATCCAGAAAGCAAAACTGTAGTAAGAGGTCAGAATATTGATGTAAAAATAAGACAAACAGCACTTTCCTATTTTAGGAATGTGCCCAAATTAGATCTGGCTTTGGACTCGTAATGCAGTGTAGATTGAAGCTAAGATCTAACAATGGGAGTTAGAATATTTTTTTATATTTTTGTAACTACAGCTTTTTCATGGGGTAGTATTTGTAATCTAATAAGTCAATAGATTTTATATTTGCCTTGCATTTGCACCTGATACTTCTGGAAAAAAAATTTAAAGGTTTACAAGTTTCTAATGATAATTTACAGGTGTAAAAGTCTTTTTGTTTTAAGTCAGGACAACAATTCCTACACTTTTAAATCAAAATATAATAGCATAAACTGAGTTTTTTCTAAACATTCTATTATGGTGCCTTTTATGTTTCTGACATTATAAGGGATAACAATTTGTTCTTGATGCATCTCATACGGAAGGATGGTGATTTCTATTGTCCATCCACAATATTTGTATGTACTGTGATAAGGTTAATGTGCATTTTTGTGGAACAATCCTGTAAAGCTAAGAAAAGAGGCTTATTTTCAGTGTCTTCAAAATATTTCATTAATAACAGACAATATGTACTTTCAAATGCATGCTTCTAGGTTTGATTTTCCTACAGGTGCTCCTTATAATGTTACTTCAGATGTATGAGACTTCCCAATAATAAAGCACATGCTAAAAAAAAAAAAAAGTAGTACTCCATTTCCTATGTCAACTGAAGCAACACTTGCTGGATTGCACTAGTGTGCAATTAACTTCATCTTCAAACTAGTATGTAATTAAATCTATGTACCAGATCACTAATTTCTGCATCACTCCAATTTATGGACTTGAAATTTGTCAAATTCGTTACCACCAAACTATTCCCTGCCAACACAGAACTGTACATAGAGATGGTCTTAGGCATGTTTTATGCTCAAAATTAACCATATCTTTTTATGCAAGGAGTTGTAACCAGGAGTTAAGCAAGCCAGACTTTTTTTGTTCATAGAGAGGATCAGTCAGGTTGATCAACTGTGGCCTGAAAGCTTCGGTGAGGGGTTTTTTTGGTATTGTCAGTTGTTTCCTTTTCAAAAAACTTCTTACATGGCTTGTATGAGATTAAAGTTACAGAGCAACACCGTCTTCCAGTGACACCTCAGAATTACTTTAGTGGTGTTTGTTTGGTAATTCAAAAGAAAATTAAGTTTAGGGAAAGGGAAGCCAGTCCTACTTCCCTAAGCATATGTATACGACAGCACCACAAAAAAAAAGCAAAAGCAGGCAATTTTCTTTGTATCAGGCATCTGAGCGCTTTCTGGAGTAGAAACATTTATCTAGGGTTTTTTGGGAGTAGGTTGTTTGTTTTACACACAAGAACATGGTCTAATATAAAATGGTTATATTATGACTTGTCAGATTTTTAATTGCTTTTTTTGAGTAACTTTTTGGAACAGTAGATACTACACCAGACACATAGGATACAGGAAAAGCTACTAACTTCCGAGACCTTGCAACAGTGTGAGAACCACTAGTGTTTTAAAACATTCTCTGAATTCCTTTTTACACAGTTCCTTGGTCAATAAAGATTAAAGGGTTGATCATTTGTACGAAACCCAAGATACTCATACCTCTGGTGTGGTTTTTTATTTGGATGAATGTAAGATAATAAGTTTCTGCAAGGAATTCTGCTTTTAAGGGTATGGCTTTGAATGTCTTTATACTTTGAACACCACGTGTAGTCATGCCATCTAATGTTCCACCTTACTACATGTTTATTAAGCACTCCCTTCACCTGATTGGAATTTACACAACTTGGAACCATTTGCACCAGGCAGAACACATTATTTGCTTTGCTAGCTTTGAAGAGCTGCACATTCAGCACACCGAACATTTAAGGGTATGGCTTTGAATGTCTTTATACTTTGAACACCACGTGTAGTCATGCCATCTAATGTTCCACCTTACTACATGTTTATTAAGCACTCCCTTCACCTGATTGGAATTTACACAACTTGGAACCATTTGCACCAGGCAGAACACATTATTTGCTTTGCTAGCTTTGAAGAGCTGCACATTCAGCACACCGAACAGCAGTAAAACTTGGAACCATTTGCACCAGGCAGAACACACTATTTGCTTTGCTAGCTTTGAAGAGCTGCGCATTCAGCACACCGAACT